ATGTTACAAACAAACACACTTCCATGACTCAGGAGTGAACGGAGGAAGATCTACGTGAAAGGAGAGGAAATGTAAAAAAGTCATGAAACGACTAAATGGACGATCTGGAGTCAGGGATCAAGAGGTGTCGTTTAATGAGCATCTGCTGTTCCTCACACGGCCTCCAAAACGTGCTTCGGCGGACTCCTCTGCTGTTTCCACCCACAGAGAGCTTTGGCTTTGAGGCACATGAAAGAGAAGTGGTTTGGAAATAAAAGGGTTGTGTTTATATGTGACAGAAATAACCTAATGATTCTCACATGCCATCGTTTAGCAGAGCTCAGCAGGAACATCAAAACTATTCGACTTCCTAACACGGTGAAGCAGATCGGAGTCAGACACCGACTCTAAAGGTGGGGTTATATTTCTGTCTCTGTCTCACGGTGTCACGTTGTCTCTCTGTTCCTCTCACCTTCGCTTCATTGTTCTTTTCAGGGCTGCGTCTTCTCTTTTAATTCACACAAGTGTTTTTTTTTCCTACTTCAGCAGACCATGACTTCACATGTGGAAACACAGAGCAGCTGTGAAACTATGTACGCATATATGCCTGTGTATGTGTGAGTGTTGTAAGCTTCTGGGCGTGGAGCTTAATCCCAACCACAAGTGTTTTCCTGAGAGCTGAGACCCCGTCCACTGCTGTCGTGAACACCTTGTGCAAACAGAACAAAATGAAAACCCGCCGGAGAGTAAAAGCTGATTTATTGTATTTCTTCTTTTACACTTTATGATGAACGGCACATGGATAAAAAAAGAGACGGAGCGACAAGTCAGGAGAAATACCTGAAAGTAAATGCTGCGTATCAGGTCAGAAAACAGCCACGCAGAGATTGAAGATCATTCCTTACAGCCGTTTTATTATGAATACCGAGCAGTTTAGGTCTAATGGAAGTTGATTCAGTGTCAGGCTGGTCATCAGATTTAGCTGCATCCTGTTTATTGAGTTGAAACACATCATAGTGTAGGCCAGTCTTGGAACCCATACACTAACAGCAGCTTTTAGTGAAGTTATTAGCCTTTTGGAAATGAAGTCCAGCGTCTTCGTAATTCAAGTGCAGCCAGCTCTGAAGGACAGATGACCTCAAGCCTGGACTTCCTTTTCCATGTGCTGGGTTATTCACAGCTCATTTAGCAGCTTTATAAGCAACAGTTCACTCCAATCAAAAGCACAGCACAAATTATTTCCCCCAGATGTCTGTGTAGAAAACAAGTTTATTACCTCGTTCTCTTCCTCCTCCAGAGCAGTGCTGGTAAATCTGTTTGTGGCGAGTCTTAGTTTCACTGTAAAGTGTAAGTTACTCACAGGCTTCACTCACTGACTGTTTATCTGTTTTTTATTGACTCTCGGTTTCACTGTATATGACAATTTGTATAAAGGCTTCACTCTTTCTGTTTGTGTTAAGTCTCAGTTTTACTGTAAATCAGAAGTTAGTTATAAGATTCACTCTTGCTGACTGTTTATACATTTCTGGCTAGACTTAGGATCTCTCTTAAAACATGCGTGACTTTGGCTTACTCTTAATCTGTCGTTTGTTTTCTGTCAGTTTCACTGTAAATAAAATGTTACACATTAGCTTCACTCTGGCCGACTGTTTATTTGTGGTGAGTCTTAGTTTCACTGTAAAGAGTAAGTAACTCACAGGCTTCTCTCTGGCTGACTGTTTATCTGTTTTCTAATTACTCTCAGTTGCACTGTATATGCCAAGTTGTGTAAAGGATTCATTCTTCTTGTTTGTGCTAAGTCTTAGTTTCATTGTAAATCATAAGTAATAAGAGTTTCTCTTGCTGACAGTTTACACATTTCCGTCCAGTCTCAGAATCACTCTTATATGCATCTTACTCTTAATCAGTCATTCGTTTTTTGTCAGTTTCACTGTAAACAAGAAGCTACACATGAGCTGCAATGTGGCTGCTTGTTTGTTTTAGGTGAGTCCCAGTTTCACTGTTACTAGCAAAGTAAGAGCATTACCCAGGCTCACCGTTTATCTGATTTTTCTCGTGTCTTCGTTTCTCTTAGTTTTTACACAGAGTCTTCACTCTGTCTTACTGGTCATCTGTTTGTCGATAGTCTCAATTTACTGTACATGGTTACAGTGAAACTTCACCTTTACCGACTGTCTGTTTGTGGTCAGTCCTAGTTCCACTGTGTAGCCCTCTTCAACAGTTGTAACACAAAGGTTTCACAAACTTTCACCATTGCTTCTTGGATCATCTTTTAAACAACTTCCAGCCTCTGTGCGACTATTTAAAATGATCAAAAATTGGAGTTTAAAAAATAGCTTTATAACTTTGTTGGGATACAAAAGTCAACTCTGTTCTCAGATACAAGATCTCCACTCTGAATTGCCTTTGTTTACATCCACTAACATGGTAGACAACCCCCTCATTGATAAACTTGAATAGATTCTTCAGTGAAGTTTGCTCAGCTAAGTAGCCTCTAAGTGACTTAACCTGTCGATGCCTTCAGGTGTATATTAAGGCAATTATGTTCACGTGTAAACCAGAGTGGGACCGATGACCTCGTGGCCATGACTCGATTTCCCCGAGTGCTGCATGGTGAGGCTGAGGCCATTCATCATGCAAAGAGAGCCTTTCATTGGGCTGAAACATCATAGAGGGCCTGTGGTGGGAGAGGACAGACCATGACTCAATCCCCACATGGGGCTGCACAGACATCAACTTCCCAGCTAATGACCCCAACATGTGTCAGGTCCTGCTTGTTGTGTGTGCACTGAGGAGCTGTTAGAGAGATGACTTGTTTAAGGGTGAACCTGAGACTCATCCAGAAGAAATGATCTGCAGGAGGGTGATGGTTACTCTTTGGAAAAAGATCAATTACTCACATGTATTGTAGCATTCCTCCAGTTTTTGAGAAAGTCATTGATTGTCCTAAAGCCCTCAGGTACAAACATGTATTTTGAGATTTTGAGGCAATGCATGGCTCAGAGAAACCAATGATTTTAAGTCATCCTGAGGGTTAAACAAAAGAAATGAATGTTAAAAGCTCCAAACCAACAAAACAGATCATGCGTTTTGTTGTCTCAATGAAGGTCCGCAATCATGCCCCTTAGAGAGTCCTTCTGCTGTGATACCAAGAGATGTTCTGGAATGACAAATGTCCTTGTTGTAAACAGAAATATTACGACAACTAACAGTTCCAAAAGTTTTAAAATATTTCTACTTTTGCCATAACTCAACCCTAATATGACATCTGCCGAAATCAAAGTGAGTGCTTGAATAAGAGCAAAAGGTTGTTTTTAGATAGATTTTGCAAAAGCAGGCTGACATCATTTCTGTTGAAAGTATATTACCCAAAAGGACCTGCATGTCACACCGATAAAAAAGTGGTGGTAGGCCTACTCTCCAGTTTCTATCATTCTCTAATCCACCAGGACCTTCAGGTTATTCAAACTATAAGTATAATATATATTCAATGTGACTGTTTCAACTTTAAACTTTAATACAGCGAGTGTAAACACTAAGCAGAGTAAACTATACTCCGGGTCATCAGCGTGTAACGTGGGTGGAGCCACTCGCGCTGATCCGCATCCCCAAACTCAGCGGGACAAAGCGCATTCCTGCATCGTATTAGTATTGAAAGGAGAAAAAAAAGGAGGAATGCTGCCTGATTTATCTGGAGTACAGAAGCGACTCAGTGGGACCACACTGATTCCCAAATTAATTCCATGTGCACTTCGATTCCTGGTATGTTGATGGTTTTATTTCAGAGAAAGCCTGGGAACCTGAGAAGGAAACTGAAAAGGAAAGACCTTTTGAGTTATGAGGCAATTTTCACAAAGCTTCCAATTCATTGTTTGATTCATTGTTACATTATAAATTCCAAGTTTGCTGTTTTAACCACTGGGAAGACTTTGGTTACCTTTTTGTCCCTTTTAAATAATCATATAAAAGTGTTGTATCCCAGCAGTTTAGGGCATAGATGAGTTAATGTAACATAATTATAACAAGCCTTGGGATGTGTTTATCACAAATGAACCAGCTGACATTGAAGAGCTGTTTGGGAGCTGAAAGAGATGGTTCAAGAGCCCAAATTCACAACTCTAGGAGCATCAATATAATTTACCTGAGACAGCGGGAAAATCCTAACTCTGCTCTGACATGGTAAGATGAATCAAAGACAACTTAAGTAAGAATAGACATCTTTTAAAGCTTGAAGTGATTTTTGAGTTTTTATGGCTTTGTTTGGGGTGAGTCTTCTAATGGACTTGGTTCATGTGGACCTTCTTTAGTGCAGTAGAAGGACTTTCAATGTCAGCGCTAACAGGCAATTTCCACCGCATCCGGAACAGCTATGAAAAGGCCATATCTGCTGATCGCAGCTGATCGTAACCATTCAAGTAAATGTGTCAATTTCCACCAGCTTCTTTCCATTCGGTTTGCCGGACTCCACAGCTGATCGCAAGAGTTCTGTTTTTTCTAGACACCGGAACATGCCAGATAAATTCAGCACAGATTAACCCGTGCTGGAAAGGAAGTCGGGCACAGACACAAAATAAAACATTTGGCTTCTTTTCATAATAAAACACTCCGTGTTTCAAGCAGGTCATATTTCACACCATGCAAACGGACGTGGACAAACAAGTAAAATATTCATAGACAGCATTTTAACCCGATGACACCATGGATAAGGAGATGATTTTATAAGTCTGGAAGTAGATTTCCTCCTCTGGAAGGACACAATCTACTGCTTTTATGGTTAGCCTATGTGGCTAAAGACAACTTGTTATCCCGCGATTGCACGTAAATTCGCGGGTTCTTGTGAGTTCTCGCCATTCCTGCTGTCCATAATCTGTCATGAAATTCACCTCACAAACAGATCCGGTAGGAATTGGCGTACAGCGAAAGTGGGAGACGTTTCGGGTCAGAACCGTTCTGGGTGTGGTGGAAATCCTGGGTCTCTCTCTTTCATTCCAAATCAAGTTGATGGATAAATGTCACCAAAGTTAAAAGTTTTGAATCAGCCCAGAGACATCATCTTTCAGACCGGCTCTCTGCTTCACCAGCTCGGCCACCAGCTGCGACATTGAGATTGTATCAGTAGCATCTCCCTGGACAGGCAGGCCAACGTTAGCATTAGTGTAAGCAACTTTGCTATTTACATTAGCAGGGGCTACGCTAGCTGCGATGGCTGAGAGTTTGCTAGCTATGCTCGTGCTGGCTCGTGTTGCAACTGGAGTTTGTTTACAGGTGTGCATTTTGGCGTCAAAGTTGTTGAAATGACTTTATAATGCGTTGTGACAGTTTGATCAGAGAAAGTCCAATGTTTAAGTAAAAAGTTAAGCAAATGTCATCTCTGTAACATCATCAACCGGAAGTCTCTTAAAGTTAAACGTTTTAACAAGCTGTGCCCATTCCTGGCTCCATTTTCCAACACTGGAGGTTGCCGCTTAGTTTTCTCACATAAACAAAATCACAAAAACCAAATGCTAATAATACAAGAAGACAAATCTCTTTACCACAGTTGCTACTAAACTTTCAAAGCTCTTCGAGGCTCAAGAGAGAACGAGAGTTGACTAGAATCTTCTCTGAAATTTGAGTCTCATCAGTTGTTACACGCCTAAGGGCTTTCATAGTGACAATGACGAATGAACGCAGAATTTTAATGATGAGAAATGTGCAACAGGATAAAATTTCTGCAGGATTAAATATCAGCCATGTGCCCCTGCGCTCAGGAGCCTCGTTGTTCGTTATACTGCAGCTCAGATTGGATAATGACTTACAGACCTTCACGTTGGGAGAGCGCGGGGACTATTAACCTTGAATACAAGCCACACATACTTACACACACACATTCCCAACATGTCTAAATCCAAACACATATCAAAATAGTAATCTCATGCCTTCTGAATGGAAATAGCAGATATATAATGGAGCACAGATGAGGATGATAATGCACTCTGGATATATTTCAGAGATGCAGAGATGGAGATCAGATCCAGGCCGGACAGCGGATGTTTGTCCTGGATTTAAAGACAGATGGAGTTCGATAGTCATCTTTAATAAGACTGTAAATGTGTGAGGCCTCTGAGCTTGTTGAATCTTTGGATTAGGAGGAAATATTCTCTTAACCGTATCTGATTTAACAATTGCTAAATGTTTGCGTAAGTTACTGTTTGAGCTGATAAAGACGATTTGAAGTTTCCTCATCTTGAGTTTGTTTAATTTACAACTCAAGCTGTTTTGATTTCCCCATTATGCAACATAAAAACATAAAAAATGCATAATGAAGGGCCTTTTAAATGTAGCATCTGTGCGTGGTACAATATGTCTGGTTATGACAAGTGCATCAAACCACTTTGAGGTATATATGTGCATTTATTTTGAGCTTTTAGACATGATGTTTCCGTAGAGATATCACACTGATTATTTAACGTCTTTTCAGCTGCTCATGGACACTGTGGGTGCATGATAACAATAATAATGGTGGAGTTCTTTCAGAGGCCGTCTCTGTTTGCACTGTAGGTTTATTAACAACCAAAGCATGAATGCCTCAGTTTGAGGAGAGGATGTTTTTGATTTCTGAGTGGGAGGTGAGGGTAAGAAAACTATAGCGCAGGTCACAGTCAGCCAAGCAGAGAGAAAACTTCCTCAAGTGTTAAAGGCTGCGGGTCAGAGGTACAAGGCCTCTATGAAACAGAGCTCTTTGAGAGGAATACCAAGCTTGCAGTGTATTGAGCAAAACTTAAAGTTTGCTGTAAGATGTAGAGACGTGCTCGACCATAAGAATAAGTCTGGCTTTCACCCAGGGAATTTTTGGGAGAGGTTCACTTTGCGATCAAAATTAAAAGATAAGAATAAGTTGCACAAGCTGGACTTGAAACATGAGAATCTGCACTTTCTCTCTTACAAAAGCAATCATCAATCAACAGTCTGAATTAGGGCTGGGGAATATGGGAAAAGGTTTATCCCGGTATATATTTTATTCATATCAGTGGATGTCGATATATATCAAGATATAGAAAGTGAAATTTAACAGTACTTATTGGTAGCATGTCTTTTACCATACAATAAGCTACTGCATCTGTGAGGTCTTTGTGTCCCTTCGATGTTTTGTTGTAAGGCGTTGCACTAGAGGAAGTGGACTGAATGGTCGGCTGTTTCGGCTGCACAAGCGCCATGGGCTCTTTGCTCTGCTCAGGGTTTGTAACCTTTTGCATTGTGCGCATGCCTTGTGGCACTGCTTCAGGTGGTGAAAAAGATTTAAGGTATTCCCCGACTTTGCGAGAACATGTACTCAAAATAATTTGCAGGGCACATTACTCTGCTTCATGTCTGACCTCAAAAAAACAAAATACCTCAACACCACAGATGTTTTTGTGTCAGTGTTGTTCATCTGCATTACTGCCCGGGGGTAGCACTCATTTTCTTTTTTCTCACCGACAGTGCTGTTGGCTTCACTATTAAAGTGTTATGGTTGCGTGTAGCTGCAGCCTGCTACTACACAGTTATTTGCTAGTTGGTTCTAATTCAGCACATGATTGGTTTAGCGGGAAGCAGATCCGGAGCAACTCCCACTTTGACCGGCCACTTTGACCGGCTGTTTTTAGTCATGTTTTATATTGATATTGAGGAAAATTAATTTTCGTTATCGTTTTATCACCAAGCCCTAGTCTGAATGCTCGCCAACAATGAGACACACAGGCAGACACAGACCATATCCAGAGGTTGAGGACCTGACTTTAAATTGGCTTCAGACTGGATGTGTGGCGGCTGTGTTACTTAGATCAGCTGGGCTTAATGCCATTTTAGATGTGGACAGAGTTTGATTTCGGGGTTAGGTGAGCATTATCTCTATGCTCCTTACTAGAGCTTCACTTCAGCCCTGCATGGGCCAAATGCCCCAGACTGAGATGATCATCAAGCTCTCCATCATGCACACTCTTGAATGTACAGAATGCAGAAACACACACAAGGACAAATTCACACAGAACTAAAGGGTATTTTTCTAATCATTATAACCAATTACTTTAAAAGCCACCATTGTCTGCAGATATTAATAGGGACTAAACAGCATCTGCTTCACATGCGATACAGGATACAGTGAATTTAAACCAGCCCTCAGTCTCTTATAATATTATAAGATTACTATGAATAAGACTAAGATGCTTATTGCCTTCTTTTTTCTGAAATCATGTCAGTTATGTGTCCACTTCTGCCTTATTTGTATATTTTGTTTCATTTATAAAGGACTTTGGTGTCTTACGTGCTGAGTTTAAACCTCAAATAGATTTTTTTCCAAAAAAAAATCAGACTAACTAAAGAAAGAGCTTTGGTTTATCACTAAATTTTACTTCTGAATGGTAGTATTCAGTATTCGTTAAAAAAATAAAGTTGTCATGCAATGATTTTGTTTTCCTCTCATATCTGCTGCAATAAAAACAGTATGTGAGGTCAGAGTTACACCAGGAAGCCCTGCAACTCTGCAGAATCTAATAAGCGTGCGTTAATGACTTTATTCGCTTTAGTTTTTACTTCCAATTAAGTTGTTAAGTTGATGTAATCAGATAAGGAGGTTCGTCTGCTACGTGTGTGTTCACTTGTGTTAGGTCTGGTCATGTGATGTTTAATGACTTTCTGCTGGAAAACGCAAATCATAAAAATAAAACCTGGGTTTGCAAATAAAAGTGAGATGATTTATTAGAAGTTACAGGTAGGAACCGGCAGATTTTTAATTTAAAATCTTAAGATGAATATTGTGACCGGAGGCCTCCCTCCTGCTGCTGCATTCAGAGACTAACAACCCTCCCTTTGACAGTAACATTGTGGTTCATGAATATTTATGCCCACGCATGTTTTTGGACACACCGGTGGATAAACGTCGCGAGGCTTGTGTGCTGTTTTCATAAACTGTACGGACTAGAGTGAGTAACTGAGCAAACATGAACAGATAACATGATTAGATCCTTCAGAGGTGGGAGCGCGGTGTTTGAATCAGTTTGTTGAAAGGACCGTGATACAGTGAGTGGGCAGGTCTGAAGTGTTTGAACAGTACATTCCACAGTCAGGCTTTAGAAAAACATTCCCTCCATGAGCAGCTACTGGTACAAAGAAGTCCAAGAGTCCCGTCAGCTAATGATCCAGGCCTGCAGACCCTCAAACACACCGTACCTGAACCGTATATATCCACCATGAGTTCATAGCAGCAAAGTCTGTTGAGACAAATGAGCCGTTTGGGCCGGAGCATGTCATGTTCATGATGATCCACTCAGGCTGTTCTACGATTAGGATTAAGATTAAGAATTTACTTCTTATCTCTTTTTTCAAAAATGTGGAAAATTCTGCTTCTTTTTATGCATTTCCATTTCAACATATACAGTTTGATCAAAATTCAAAACAAGCTGAATGGGCATAAAAAAAGGCAACAACTACATCCTGAGCAGTGGCGATTGCTCTAAGACTGCAAGGGAAGCTCGGCTTCCCTTAAAATGTCCCCCCCCCCCCCCCCCAAAAAAAGAAAAAGTGGTGAAATACGTACAGCTGTGTGTACATTTCATTAACTAAATACGCACTAGAAAGCCTTCATCTTTTGTTCAGACACTGTGATAAGAAGCTGATAATCACAGGTAACCGGCATAACTTCGTTCTCATTCATCCTCGCAGCGCCTCAGCGCTTTAAACAGCCGGACGCTGGGCTTCTGCTGACTTCAATGTGGAGGCTCAAAGTGGGTTGTTCCAGCAGCGAAACTAGACGCTCATTGGATAAATGCTGGGCTTTGTCCCGCCCATCGGAAGCCCAGCTTCACTGGAGTTCTATGGCGAGAGGGCGGTCCCGACTTTCTCCCGGACTCCGAGCTTCTGCATCCATGATTGGATGAGCTGTCTGAGGCGAAATCCTTTTTTGATTGACAGCTAAACAAGCGAATCAGCGATCTTGAAGAATAAAACATCTACCAGAGCGTTTTCCAAGTTATTCATTCCGTTGTTCTTAACTGCTCCGGAGACTTTACCGATCCTCAGCGACTTTTGTCTTTGTTAAAAACGACTACCGTTGTGTTTGGCGACTCTGTTCTGTTACATACTAATAAACAAATACAATTATGATGTAGGCCAGAAAAATGAGCTTCCCCTCCTTGAAAGACCAGCAGCCGCCACTGATCCTGAGGTGGGAGCAGATATAAGGGTTTTTGTTGCCATTGCGTTCAGCCATTGAGTCCATTTGTATATTTAACCCAAAGAAAAGTATCAAGAGTTGTGA